AGGAGCTCAGGGTCATTTGGTAACTGTAAGATAGCTCTGTTTTCTGGTCAACCATATGTTATTGTTATACAGCTTCTCTGAGTGTTCCCACTGTGTGCCGGTGGTCTGTATATCATTTGTTTGGCTTCATTAGCTGCCTGTGCGTCCTAGGCTTCCTTCAGCTGCTTTGCCTTAGAATAGAATGCCATGCTGATTGCTGTTGGTGTTTTTATTTTGCAAATCAACTCCAAAATTGCATCTGATATTTTCTTCTCTGTTTCTTTTATCATTACCATCTGTTGTGAATCTTGTGCCCTTTATATACACAGAAATTCACATTAACTACTTATATTCAGATTCCAGCCAGAAACTCATAGACATTTAGAAATAAATACATAGTTGCTGCTGGTGGCGATTTATCAAAAAATGATGTAGGTGGTTGGCAACCTTGCTTTCATAGAGGAAGAAAACCAGAATACAAGCAGTTGGTAACCAGCTGACTCGAGTCTCCTACTCAGAGAGACATGTCGCAAAGTAGTTTGACTCATTGACACAGACGAACTCAGACGGGTTAACAATCTGTCTGCGTTTATAAATTAGACAGTAGTTATTTGCAGACCTCTCTGAGAGTGCAGTCTATCCCCAATCACCTTGCAATGTTAATATATTTTTTCTTATCAATCACTTTTCTACTCTGTCAGAGCACTGAAAGCGCTTTACACAACCTGCGTCATTGCCCTTGCTTCACGCCACAAGCACTTTCTATGTAAGTGCTTTCTATCTAACGTTCACACTCCGATGAATGCATCAGAGAGCAACTTGGGGTTAGTATCACGCCCGAGGATGTTTACCACGAACCACCAGCCTTTCACCTGAGCTACAGCCAGGTGAAAGAGCAGAGGTTTAGAGTGTTGCATAACCAACTGGTCACCACAACTACTTGCAATTAGTTTCTGACAACAAGAAAATTTAATACAACCACTAATTAGTTTTTCTTAAAGGTCTGGTGTAAGTGAGCCATTAAAAAAGCACACAGTTAGATCATGTTTTACTCGTTAATTAGTTCCGTTCTATGACCAAAACATTGAATTTCTCATGTGGTATATCATTCCAGATCAAGTCATGAATGCAAACAATGGAGGATGTTCTTTTAGAAAACATGGTATCAGATTTGACACCCAAGTCATTTCAAGTTGATTCAATATACTAATTATATAGTAAGTAACAATATAGTGTTAAATACACAAATTTGTCCGGGAAGAATTACCAAAGCAGCTATTTTTTTGGACATGGATATTCAAGGCTCTTCACCTCCTGCACAGGTAATTCAGCAGTGAGCAAGAGATGTGTTTAATTTTTAAAACAGATTTTTGGAGGAAAGCATGAATCGCAGTGTTGACTTGGAGGTTTCAGAAGCCCGTGGTGCTAGTTTTAATAGTTTAAACAAGGTGTTTGCAAAAACAACAAAAAAGAACTTACATAGTAGTACAAGTTAAAAAAAGTATGATTTTGTCAAACCTGATTGCATTTAGTAAAGTCGGGGTTGCTCATGTCTAAATGCTTTGAATTATTTGAATTATTAACTGTGCAACAGCTCATATTACATGTATCACATGTAAAATATGTTCAGATGCTTGAATGTAAGTTTTACGTTGGTATGACATGTTTATTATATAAGACATGGTTTGCATGGTAATATGTAGTTAAACAATGATGTAGATAACTGAATGAGCCAAAGTGGCACTTTGCAGCATGGTGGGGAGAGAGTGCAGTGGTTTTAATAGGTTTGGTTAAGTGGTGAGATGACGTTGACAGACAGATGTTTGAGCTGTGCTAGAAAACCTGTGATCATACGTCAGTATCTTAGCTGCTCCTTGGATGAGCTAGGTCAGCTGAGCACTGATCAGGTGTTGTAGTACATCTGCTCATTTGACCCTGTTTGATTACACTGGTTAACAATGTTTCAGACATCCTCAGCTTCATCACATAATATGTGCTATTTCTGTTTTATTTTGAAATCCAGATGTGACAATTAAAATAGCTGAGTAACATTTCCAAGATGGTTCATTTCTTTATATTTTGCTGCTATTGTACATTGATTTGAAGAGTTTGAATCATAAATTGTAAGTTTACTTTATGGTCACTTCACACTATAATATTTCACCTTTAATATTATGTAAGAATTAAAAACATCAGAAAAAAGGTCTATATAGCCCAGACTTGAGTGAAACAAAATTTTACAACTAATAGCAGATTTATTTCACCTCAAACACCGAAAAACTGTCTAACAGCTTATTGTGAAAGAAGAAGAAGAATTACAGATTTCCTGCTACTACAAAGGTCATGTCGAGCGTCTGAGTACAATGGATGCGGGACACGACCATGGAGATAAGATTTGGAATTTGACATTTCATACTTGGCACATTTCTATGAATCTGACCTGATGAAAAGCAGATTAATAGTTTAGATAGTGACCATCTAATACTATAGTTTCCCCCCATTCTGCCCATTTTCGCCAAATCTTAAAGGTTAAAATGTATTTAAGTGATTTCTGGCTTCAATTAAAATTTTGGGTCTTAGATCTGACCAAGTAGATTATCATGAAAACTAGAATCAATCAGCAATTTTAAGCAACAATTTCAGTTTCAGTGACTAAAATTTAATTAGTTAATGGAACTTTTACAGTCTTGCACTGCTACCAGGGCACTTGGACATCTGAGACGTTCAAAAACAGAGACAAGAAACCTTTTCAGAGACAACCTGCCTTTTCACATAACAGCTTTCCAGTCTCTCTGTCATTTAAAAACACTGTTAAAAATCAACTCTTCTCACTGACTTTCAGGTCTACCTCAGCAAGTTATCCTGGCTTTTTATCATGCGAGCAGTCTTATTCAGTCTATTACTGTGTTATGTGATTACATTTTTACTGAATTTGTTATTTTACTGGTTGTTAAGTATGAGTTCTGTTTGCATTGCCTGTACAACAGATTCTTTTTAATCATAACTTGACTTGGGACCTACAGTAACATTGCTGTAAGCAAGTCCTATCAGACTCTGCTTGATTATTTATACAGAGTATACAAAACAAGTGAAGGAGGGCCTTCACCTGTCGGATTTTTCTCCCACAATCACTGTTAGAAAACCGTCATAGCGTCAGTATTTAATGGCTTGCTTTCATAAGCTCACTTTAATTTACATTTTTGATTAAACTGAGGCCGTGGGTTTCTTCAGCCGAGGATGGGCGACAGAGTTAGACGTGGTCTCTTGTCCACAGAGCCCGAGGTTTTTCTTCTTACTGATGCTGACTGTTCCTTAAGGTGGATATTTCAAATGATGGCCTGTGGCCTGAAAAAGTTCCCAGGTCCCTCCCAGCCTGTCTCAGCACATGGGCTCGCTCTCTGTCTTGTCTCGGACTGACCCTGCTAAGTGAGCGTTACTGTCCTCCCCGTTTACAGTGGCAGTTGGTAACAAGGCATTATACAAGATAGAAATCAATCAAATTATGCTCAAGAGTCCAGTGTGTGGTTGTGTAACCAACCTTGGTTGTCCGTATAATCTGTCACAAATCATGACAGAGGAGGGTAATAAGGCAGCATACCCCCCCATCATTGTCACTGTGAAACCCCCGGAGGCAGTAAGACACCAGGCAGCACACAACCACACGACACAAGGAGAGGAGATGACAACAGAACACACCAGTCCTGCTGTAGAAATAAGGAAGAGAAAAATTGTTTATTCCGTGTTACAGGTAACACGAACAGAGTGAGTTCTCTTGACTGTGGATCTCTGTGGGTATTTCCTCTGTAGATCCTTCCCAAGCCTTTTTTCCCCCACCACACATTTCCTTCTTTCTCCTCACATGATTTGGAGTAACCATCTCTCCAAGAACACCACTGCAAAATACACCTGACACTTTTTTTCAGAGAAATGCGTTTCTTAAGCTTTATATTTTTTAGCTTTTCTGTTCCTTCCTGCACTTGTTCTACAAGGTGTAGCCAGCCTGCAGAAGCAGACCGAGCACACACAGAGACTTGAATACCTCCTGTGTGTTATTATGGGGGTTTTTTTCTTTACTGCACCGCCATCGTTCACCATTTAGCCCCTGCAATAGAGGACTGGGCTTCTCAGACACACTTTCATTGTGTATATGACAAAACCCAGCAGCTGATAGCATTCTGGCCTGAAATCAGAAAACGACTAGATAAATCACATTGGGAGCGTGCGGTCGCATCTGTGTGTGTGTGTGTGTGTGTGTGTGTGTGTGTGTGTGTGTGTGTGTGTGTGTGTGTGTGTGTGAGACAGAGAGGGGGAGCCAATACAATGAAGGTATCGAATTCACTGTGGATGAAGACTGCACTGCCGGCACTTTCTACATGAATCTATGCCTGTCCAGGGATCATTTGCCATGGTTAATTTAGTCCATGTGCTCAGAGTGGCTATTTCAACCAAGTAATCACAGCACCCCCAAGAGGGAGACAGGTGCTGCACACTCTGAGTATAAAGGCTCTCCCTCCCTCACGTCCTTCCACCTTCCCCCTCCATCGCTAACATACGAGTGCAGATAAGGGACGCTCGTCTTATTCCCATGTGCAGCCACTGTAATGCACTGCAGGAGAGAAAAGAGAGCACTGACGACTGGAAGAAGTCCTGTTTGCTGTTTTCCTAGCAGTTCGATTTGGGAATTGCAGCCGGGTCGAGGGGAGTTCCAGTCTGCAGGCTGAGATGACAGTGACACATGGAGGCTTCGCGGGCTGCAGGAGAGACACGTCTCCTCCGAGTCCCCACAGAGACAAGCTCAGGCCGAAACTAATACCAGTTATTGTAGCTGTGCACCCTAGTTTGCTATGTGCTCCGTCCCGTATATCCTTCTATTAACTCAGTCTGACATATCCATAAGGATGATGGAAGGGCTCTGCTTTTTGCAAAGCCATTTCCTGTGCTGAATTATAATGCCTGGAAAGAGTAGAGGCGTGCAGCGTGCTTGATCAGACGTGCGTGAATATGAATGTGTGTTTTTTCAGAGCCTACCGTCATCACCACGCTGGCCTCCACACTGGACGTTACCGTCGGGGAGAGCGTGGTCCTGCCCTGCCAAGTGAGCCACGACCCGTCTCTGGAACTCAAGTTCACCTGGTTCTTCAACGAGCAGCTCATCCACTTCGGGAGCCACGGTGGATTCTTTGAAAAAGTGGGAGGCGTAAGTCAATATTTCATCATTCATGGTTTCTGACAGGCCGCGAGACTAACAGGCCTCTGGTTTTAAAACAAGCTGTCATGTTATGAGAGGTGTGCAGACAGGATGCCTTCATGCATCAGTCCGAGAAGCCTTTTTGCTATGAGCGCTTATATAGTATTTGGACATTTTATCCCCAAGAAAACAAAATATGCCTAAAAACAACAAAACTTGAAATGGGGGTACATTAAATGTGCATTTCTATCCCAGTAGCTATTATCGAAAAACATTTACCCCCTAGAATTAAATAAGGCGGTAACTATGTGTATGTGTTTGAGGATTTTAGCCACACTTTATTTTCTTTTTAAAGTATATTTTTCAGCCAAATGAAAAGAGAAATCAGGTAAAATCTTAGTTTTACTCTCTAATTCTATCTAATTTCTTATCTGCTTGAGCAGTAAGGGCAAATCACAAGGCTAACACATAAAGACAGACAATCAAACACTCTCACATCCATACCTACGCCCAATTTAGATTCACAGATTAACCTAAAATATATGTCTTTGGACAGACACAGAGAGAACATGAAAAGAAGGCTTCCCGGCTCTGTGGTTTTAACCTTCCCTTGGTTTCGTTCTCCCTGTGCTGATGACTTTCTTTGGTTTTCTGCTTCATCTGTTACAGATGGGAGACAGATAAAGCTTTGAGTGGCCAGTGAGGCTAGAAAAGTGCTATTCTATGCCACTGACAAGTGTATGATTTAATAATAACGTTATATCAGATTCCCTCATTATGGTACCAAATTATCGGTAGCAAAACAGCGTACTCAAAAGGTGCAATGTGGTGCTTTATATGATATTAATACAATATAATTTATATATATATATATATATATATATATATATATATATATATATATATATATATATATATATATATATATCTCATTTCTGCTGTTTGTTACAATTTGTTGTGTCTCCTGCTGTTTTTCCATCAAAAGATTTTATTCTAGATATAAAATACATTATTACATAACAGCAGTTTACTCACCACCTGTTTCAAAACAGAGTTTAATATTTCCTTATCCACCACAGGGATGATAATTAGTGATCATATGTCTAGATTTATGTTATTTTCTTGTTTTTTTTTAAAACATATTACATTTTTAACATCTGAGACTCATATTAAAGTAAACACTGCTAGAGCCGGACTGTGGATTTTTTTCATACCTCACTAATTATCAATATTTGATGACTGAAAAATCCAACATATCATCGGATTGGTTTTTTTTTTCAGACACTAAACATGAACAAATTTCTCTTTCATTTTTTATGTGTTGCTATTTATGAGTCCTTGCTAAGATAATACGACAATGCAGTTTGAAAATAATCTTGTTTTGTGGTCACATGTTTGTGGCATTTCAACTTGGTGTTGGCCAAACTATTCAGCATCAATGCTCCTAAAATGATTGAAGGGTGTTTCTCCCAAGTCTGCTATTATATTGTTTAAATACCAATAAATTGGCAAATAGCTAATATCGGCCTCTAAACACACCAACGGTGTAGGCTTTATCCCTGGAGCACAAGCTGACGTTATCCCCCATTGTCTTCCCCCCAAAAAACGATCACGATATGATGGCAATAACCGCAGCGTAAATGGCCAGATACTGATGTTTCCACATGCAGTCAGACCCCCTAATTTTAGTTTTATATTTGTATTAATGCAACAAAAAATTGAATGAAAATAGAGTACCAGATAGATGTCAGTTAATTACATCTATCAGCAATATAAACACAGAAGACTAAAGGTTCATCCACACAGGAAGTGATTCATGCAGCACCCTCTAGCTGATAGTTAGTTGCTAGCAGACATCCCAGGTTTATCTTTGTAACTGTTGAATGTATTGTCATTAAACAGCACATTTCACTTTCATTGGTAGTCGAGTTGAACAAAGTTTTGTGTTCCCAGCAGTTATTTCACTCACTGTAGCTTTAAGACTCTGTATGTCATCGGCTTTCTGTTATATCTGGTCGCCAAGTAGCTTCCTGTGTGGACAGTTGCTAAAAAATTGCTCTTTTGGTGAGACAACAAAGTAACCTAACAACAAGTGAGAACAGAAATAGAACTTGTCCACAAATAGTTCCGGATGACATCCAAACTGGAGTGTTCAGCTGTGTTTGTGCCCACCTCGCCAAAACACTGTTGTGTGTAATTTCAGGAATGCTAATATTTGCTAATGTGCTAGCATGCTAACAGCCAATGGCATAGCTTAGCTGTAGGGTTTCTCCCACGAGAGCATCATTTCAAATTCTGTTTATTGTCACACTCCAGCTTTGATAACATATATTCCACATAAGATGAGGCGCATAATGTATAATTAAAACTCAAACCTTGTTGAGCTTCGTGGAGGAATCCTCACTTTATTAGCACCACTGCTACATAAAAGACATTGATTTATTGCCCAACCCCCTTCAGAGATTTCATTGTATAAAAGGTCCAGATGTGACTCTGAAGATTAATTGGTACATCAATATTATACTTCTTCTCTTAGCGGGGTCATAATAAATTCAGCCGCAGTGCAGAGGGAATGTTTGTATCAAGTGTATAATTTATGGGCAGAAAAAATTTGCTGCCTGTGGTTTATTTTAAAAAGAAATTTACATACATGCAACCAGTCTCAGTGAGCTCCTGTATACTTTATAAAGTCCGCAGCTTATACCTCAGCATGCCATGCACTGTTTCGAGTTGGAGGGGTTTTTTCTCTTTTAGCTAAAAAATGCAAGGCTCCTTTAAAAACTGCAGGCAATACAGAGGGAAAAAAATCCAATGCAGAGGCGTTTTTTTTCTTTCTGTTTTCTTTATGATTTAGGTGTTTCTAGGATCATGATTTACAGTCTCCCCTCCTTAATAAATTGCTGTTCGTCTACACTTATATTGATTAAGCTACAAGCCACTCCATAGAATTCTTACTGCCACTGTGCCACATATTTCCGCCATGTCCAATTTATCACAGAACCTGCTCAGCTCTGCCTGGGTAAAATGATAATGTAGGAGAGGGAATTGCAATTAGAGATGGAATGAAAGGCTCTCTTAAAGAACTAACTATTAGACTAGCCATTAGGCTGCGCCGTATAACTGAAGCGGCTCCATACCGCAATTCAAATCAAGCCATTAGAGCAAGTTCATTTCTGTAATCACAGGGATAAAACAAATGCACGGTGCACACATGGTATAGAGAGGTATTTCTTTGTGCTTCTTTAGAATATAGATGGAAAGTGGGAGTGTGGAAATATGAATTCCTTTTTGAAGATATGAGAATAAGCTTTCTGTTTGGTTTCGTTTGTTCCCGCTTGGCTACAGAAAAAGTGAGCGTTGAATTGGAATCACAATAGCAGGTTGCTTACGAAACTCCTTTGCTTGTTTGTGTGTTTGTGGGTGATTGTGCATGTGTTGAATGACAGCAGCATTCGGCGGGAGACATTATGATTCGGAACGTACAGCTGAGGCATGCCGGGAAGTACACGTGCGCCGTGCAAACCAAGGTGGACAGCATTTCCGTGGCTGTTGACTTGGTCATCAGAGGTGAGTCACCATAATAACTGTGATTTAAATAATTCACGATCTACCTGAAGAAGACTGGCTTTGTCAGTGATGCATGTTTACTGTGACTGGTTGCACTTCACTGACGAAGGAATAAAGGGAGAGAAAATTTAGGCGAGTGGAAATTTCTCTCTGGAAGGTTTAAAGGAAATTTACTGTCTAATTAGACCCAATAGCTCCCAAAGGTTTCACACTGAACTGACGTCGCTGCAGTAGCCTCAGGTGCTAAAACCACCGCCACACTCTCTACCATCTTTCCATCTTTTCCTGATTTACATTCCCTCCCTCCCCTACCTTCTTCCTCCATCTGTCTCTCTATCATTCTGTTCTCTTTCCTGCCTTGGCTATGCCATCTATCAGGTCCCCCAGGGCCCCCCACCAGCATCCATGTAGAAGGAATCACTGATACCACAGCCTCTCTGTCCTGGAGGCCCGGTCCTGATAATCACAGTCCAATTACGGCATACACCATCCAAGCCAGGACACCATTTTCCCTCGGGTGGCAAGCTGTCACCACAGGTAAGCTCTCTCCAACCAGCTGTGGCCTCCTCCAGTCACCTGGAGGGGGCCACTCTTCATCATGCCTCGGCTGTGAAAATATTGAAGATGTAATTTTTACCCCAGCATCAATTGTAGTGGGACCATTGACTCCCATTTTATCGCTCTCTTGGGAATCCTGAAACATGGATCTCGTCCCGATGATGAAGCTTGTTTGCCACAGCCGTAATTTGATAGTGCAGTTAAGTAATGGGATCGGTGTAATCTTTGCCCACATCCTTTATGGCACCCTTAACATTTACACATGATTGGCGTAATATGCTTTTATCTCGTTCTATTGATATTTTTGTGAATTAGGACACTTTTATCAAAGATGGTTTTACTGGCTGCATTGATTTGCCAAGCAAGGGTCATAGATTTGTAACAGAAATACAATGTGACCTTGTAGGGGCTCAGAACCCAGAGGAAGAAAATTAGTTTTTGCCTTTTTAACTGGAATCATTTTCATTATGTTTGTTTTCAATATTCAGTCCCTTACAGCGATTCTGGTGTTTTGCTTGTTTCAGCTGACTTAACAACTACACAGTGCCATGCATGCATTATTAAAGAATTCAACAAAGATCACCAAATTGGCAATGTAATGGTCAATGTATGTGTTTATGTGCATTTTTTAAAAATCCTTATGCGTCCTTGTGTAGTATTGGAAGTGTGCTGTGTAACTACCATGTCTGTTAGCCTGGAGGATAGCATGCTACTGATGCTTAGCTGAGACACTCCAAGAACACACAGCCACACACATTCATGTGTTGAAACTGAAGAGGGCACTGTGTGTTTTCTGCCAGTTCCTGAGGTGGTACGGGGCACCCGGCTGACAGCTACAGTAATAGACCTGAGCCCTTGGGTAGAGTATGAGTTTCGAGTCCTTGCGAGCAACTCCATCGGGACTGGTGAGCCCAGCAAGCCATCCAAACAAGCAAGGACAAAAGGAACATGTACGTACTGAATCTGTTTTCAAAACTGACCAGTATACATATCATTTACCCAACTTTCTGAATACTTTTTTTGGAAATACTGTTCCCAAAATGTTTATTAATGCTGGAGGAAGGGAAACCGTTAGTAGCCTTGCTCTGTCCATACATAAGTGAAGTTATCAGCTAACACTAGCAAGCTTGGTTGCATGAGAAACTCAAGGGGAGAATCACTCCACGTCACGCGGCATTCCTGAGGAACACAAAAGGTGACCTTCCGTGTTCTTATGGTAGCGCCGGGTTATGGATAAAATCTAGTAGAATGATGCTCCTGCGGTAATACACGTTCCAGCCATGTATTCCAGCCCTAACCTTATCCCTAACCTGAACCAGCACTTTAATGGTAAATGGCCTGCATTTGTATAGCGCTTTACTCAGTCCCTAAGGACCCCAAAGTGCTTTACACTACATTCAGCCATTCACCCATTCACACACACATTCATACACTGGCATGGCAAGCTATGTTGTAGCCACAGCTGCCCTGGGGCGCACTGACAGAGGCGAGGCTGCCGGACACTGGCCACCACCAGCAGGCAAACATGGGGTTAGTATCTTGCCCAAGGATATTTGGCATGCAGCCAGGAGGCAGCCTGGGATCGAACCACTGACCTTCTGATTAGTGGCTGACCTGTTCTGCCACCTGAGCTACAGCCACCCCACTTTAATGACATTAAATAGTGTTTTCCAAAGCGATTTTAATAAAATGAACGAACATGTGTAGATTGATTCCAAACCGTTCTCATATTTCCTCATTTTTCCGATCTCGTCATTTAGGGATGTGTTGGGTGCCCGGAAGCGTAATATGTTGATGATTTGTCACCTAGCGTAAAATATTACGCCTCGAGAGTGAGAATGTGTTGGTGTCACAGCACCTGTCAAAGTGGCCACACCCCAACTCCAGTTTCCAGATGGGTGATAAGCCGCCATAAATTTGTTATGAAACTATCCATAGATGTCAGAATCTTTTTTGTGGTTGGCTGTAAAGATGCTTTTTAACACTGTTAAGTTGGGCATTTCAACATGGGAGTCAATGGGGATGAGCACGCTTTTGGAGCCAGGCTCAAGTGGCCATGAGAGGAACTGCAGTTCTTGCTACTTGTAGTATGTTGGCTTCAATGTTCAGCCTTGGTTCCTGCTTATTTCCACCACGTAATTCCCACCCGAGATGGACTTTTTGTTTTCAGTCAAGCATATGTTCATTAGTCAGCTTGACTGGTTCTGTTAGATCTTCTTACATCTTCACAGAGTTTTTTCACAACTTCTGTCTTTAGTTCAGTTTTTTTTCCGTTTTTGGGATTAATTTTTTCAAGTAACCTTTGACAAGTAAAGGGTATAAGCATATTTTGTAAAATGTCAACCAATAGGCAGTCCTGATAGGTGGAGCGCATACCAAAAAATGCTCCCAGGAGCTCCCGGTTTGAGTCCCAATAGGCAAGACATTTGCTCCGTGTCGTTCCCTCTACACACTTCTCTCTACACAAGTGTCCAATAAATTTAGAAATGCTGATAAATATCTTAGGAAAATAAAATGCAAAAACCTTGAATATACAGTCAGTGTGCTGGATATCATTACTGCCTCAAAAGAAAATGAAAGTCTCATTCAAATTGCAAAACATCTCTAAAAGCTTCTTTTAGCAGTTTAACAAGTTTAGATTCTTTACGTGTTCCCTTTTCGACTCGGAGATGGGAAGTTTGCTGATGTATCTGAATGCTGAAGTTCAGGCTTGTCACACACTTACCTCTCTTAGCAATTTAGGATTTGCTGGAAGGAGCATTATTACATGTGCCTTTGCAGTGTCATGTGAAGTCAACCCAGCTAAGCTGATCTGTCTTCTTCCTTTAGCTCCGAAGGTCACACCAGCTAATGTGAGCGGAGGCGGTGGCAGTCGCTCCGAATTAGTCATCACATGGGAGGTAAGCAAGCTTGCTCAAGACCCCCTCACCCATGGAGGAGGCAGCCAGACGTCATTATTCTCTGTGGATGTAGGCCTCTGTTTCATTAATAACAGCTGAACTGCTTAATGTATGGCATTTCATTTTTAAGAACAGAAAGGCAATAACTGCTGCTGTCACCCTGGGGGAGAGAAAAATGCTTTGAGGTTTCAATAAGATAATTAAACTCAGTTGTTCCTTCGAAGTTCCGGCTTTTTTCTGTGATTATCTTCTCACTTTTCTCCTCTTTTCTTTATTTTTCCTTTTTCGTTCTCTTTCTTTTCTTATTTCTACAAAGCCCCCCTGCATATCAGCCCGGCTCCAAAAACGTATATTTGTTCAAGCTGCTGCTCAGAATCATCAGCTCCTGCTGTGAACCATTTCACTGTTGATGTTTCAGTATGCACAAGTGTGGTTAAAAGGTAACTTCTGCTAAGCGAAGCCCCTGTTTTGCCTCAGCCCCTGAAGTTCTTTATGCCGTTGTGTTTTCACACAAAAGCAGGGGCAGCAGGTTGTTCATAACTATTCCTTTAAGAAATTAAGAAAAGGCGTCTCTCCCCCAGGGTAACAGCAGACATTTCTATTCGCATGGCTGCAACCCAGGGCCTAGAATACAGCTCAAGATATGAATGAAGGTTTGCGTCAATGACACACACAACTCTATATTGGTCAGCCAACATAGCCAGCCAAGAGTTTAGTTTACTTTAGTATGAAACAGAAGACTTTGAATGATTTCTTTGGACTGTTGTTTTTTCCAGGGTGGAACGCAGCATGTATTACTAATGATTTTTACAAAATAAGAATTGGATGCTCACATTTGAATTTCTCTTGGATTTTCTCTAAACTATGCAGAGTCAAAAGTATACATACGGCTTCAGATATATACATAGACCCCACATATATTTGCTTAAATGTTTCAGTTGGACCTTGACCAGATGTTTTTAGTAGCCAATTTAGTTAATTTCAGTTAGAGCTCGACTTATTTCTTAGTGAGCAACCTCTCAGTCCATAGCGATGTAAAACTTAGTTCACAATGGACAGTGACACTTTCAGCAGGTTCTAGCTCATGGCAGGCTTGAGCTTTGGTCGTTTCTGGCTTGTTTCTAAACACCTTAACTAACTTCCTCTCATCTGAGGGTCACAGTTGGGTCTTCATCCAAACCTTGGCAAACTGGTGAAATAATTATATAAATAAATAGGGTTTTTTTTCAACTCTCCTGTATTTATTTTGAATTAAAAGACAAAACATTACCCTAGGATTGATACTTTTCACCTCATAAATGTACAAATGCTTAGGCAATATCAGTAGCAAACGCTGTGTAGAGAATAGGCTTTAAAGTTTCATTTTTTTCATATCTGCTACAGCTGACCCCGAACCCACCATTAGTTACGATGCCAAACTCACTAAACCCAAATTAAATTCTAAAAGGTTTTTCACATTTTTTAGAAGTAAGAAAAACTGCATAATATAAAAACCATTTGTTGTATTTAGAGGTTACCTCTAATAACTGCAGAGAAAAATCAGCAAACATGAGAGAAGATGCAGTTTTGCTATGATAATAGTAAAATAATAACAAAAAGTTGAAAACAAAGAGTGCTCAAGAATAAATCCCTGAGGGACACCACAGCGTATTCAAGTGTGTTTGTTTCTGTCTGATTAGTACTGTTTTTTTGTTTTTTCAAGAACCTTTAAAAGCTTTGGGTGGTCATTCTGAATGTCTGGAGACCATAAACACTTATTCTAGCAGTTTTAACAAGTTTTATCAAAACAGTAGACCCCACTTCTCTCCAGACAAACAAAAAAAAAAGATGTGCTCTATGTATCTTTTAGTAGACCAGAGTGAAGAGGTTTGGTTTATTCACTAGAATAATGGAGCTATAAATATCTGAAGCATGACCACGGCTACGGCTATGTTATCATGCTGAGTGCTTTGTACTGTGTAATGGATGTGTCTACTTATAGTTTTTGTGTGTTCAGCATGTTTTATTTGAAGACAAGCATTGCCTAAAAAACTGAAAGCCTCGTGTCTGACCATATTTCGTCACATCCTCACATGGCAACTGTAGTTAAAAAATAAAATATAAAGACAGAGTTGCAGTGTGTTTATTTCCCTTTCTTTTGCAAGTGCTCTCACAGTGTTGTTTTCCTGCAGCCTGTTCCGGAAGAGCTGCAGAACGGACCGGGCTTTGGCTATGTGGTGGCTTTTCGACCCCACGGCGCCACAGGCTGGATGCAGGCAGCCGTACCCTCCGCTGAAGCATCCAGATACGTCTTTAAAAATGAGAGCATTCAGCCCTTCTCCCCTTTCCAAGTCAAGGTTGGGGTTTACAACAACCTGGGAGAAGGGCCATTTGGACCTGTTACCACTATCTACTCTGCTGAGGAAGGTGTGTATGATTTGGAATAGATCTGCATGTCTAGCTAGCAGTGATTCATCACTAAAAGACTGAGTCAGTCCTCCTTTCTTTAAATGGCAGCAGCAATCTCGCAGGCAGCCTTCTTCTATCAGCACTCGCAGGCGTCTTCAGCATACTTTCCTCCCTCTGTTGTTCTAATAAAAAGAAGCCGCTTTGAAACTTTTTTTTGATGTTCTCTCTTTGAGGGGTCATCAAAGCGCAGTGCAACTTCTAAAACCAGTCTTTACACATTAACTCCAGAGCCTGGCCGAGCGCCCACCAGGGTCCGCGCCAAGAGCCTCTCTGCATCTGAGATTGAAGTTTCGTGGAAAGCTCTGCCCTGGAACGCCAACAAGAAGAGAGTGCTGGGCTACGAGGTGAGCTCTGATGAAATACCTTGTTTGTGTGAGTTTTCCCCTGGATGCATTTCCTGTTTGTATGCGTGTGTGCGCACACATGCCAGCTAATGCTGTACAATCTTGTTGTCTTCTATTATTGATGAGTGTTCGAGACTTATGCACCTTGGGCATACGAGATAATAGCTCGCTGCCTGCATAATGGTCCAGCCGAGTCCCAGGCCTGTGGGTTTGGTTGTGTTTCTCTTGTTGCTTACCTAAGTACTGTAACCACCCTGATTAGCGTGCTGATGCAATACTCCAAGGGATAGAATGCTTAGCTTCTAATCCACACAACATAGCAAGCAGTGGCTCTGCAGACTTTCTCCGTCAGTTCTTGTCATTTTAATTCTGCTCACTGTTGAAATCCAAGATGTGGACGAAGACGTTTTCGTCGTCGGACTGCGTAAAATGCCAGAATTATAAATTGTTGACCACTCAAAAGCAACAGAGGAGCAGGCCCTCAGCAAACCATTCCTGTGAGGAAAGGCAAATTATATTTGTGCTGTCAAGCATGCCCGCTGTTTCAGCCCTGACAAGCAGGGTGACAAAGAAAATCTGTTATCAGTGGACATTGATGGCAGGGGATTTTTATGGATTCTTTCACTTTTTTTTATTTCTTTTTTTTTTGTTTCCCCACTTTTGCATATTTGACCTCAATCTGTACAAACAAAACTTAAACAGAACACACATCTGCCCGGCACAACGGAGGAACACAGTTCACAAGGCGCACAAGGTGGCATGCTGCTAAAGCTTGTTTTCAGACCGCTCACAGCTTCCATCCAGTTGAGTTCACATCTCCCTGTTTCCAGTTTGCACCTCACTGACAGGGTGTAACAGAAAGCTTTTAAGATGTCCATCGTGTTTTCTGCATTCACGTCTGCGGTTCTACCTTGTTGCTTTTCAGCTGAGGTACTGGAGTAGAAGTGAAAGGGAAGACACGGCCAGCGTGCAAAGGACTGTAGGAAATCAAACATCTACTATTATCCGCGGGGTGAAAGGCAGCACCGCATATTACGTCTCAGTGAGGGCGTATAACACTGCAGGAACGGGGCCTCCCAGCACCACCGTCAACGTTACCACCAAAAAGCCACGTAAGTATGGGATCAAATTAGAGCCTGCAAGAGATTAATGGCTGGCTGAGTTATATTGGGACTAAACTCAGATAAAAGGTGGCCTATTTTAACCTGAATAGATCTCTATAGTAACTTTCACTGATCATATAGGCCAGTCCAGAGTAGATTATCTTCAGAGTTTCAGTTAAATATCAGCTAGAATCAGCACATTAGGCTCTTTTAGGGATATACAGATTATTTCAACTGGTTACCACTGAGCAATTTTCTGCTGATTAGAGGTCTAAATATGCATCAAAATGATGCACGGCCATAAAATTGGGATCATGTTGGCTCAGACGTGAAAGTCTGGTAGATGTCTATATCACCCTCGACATTATTTCAACAAACAAACACATTTGTTTGTGTTTTTTTTTTCCATGTCACATTTGATTGTTTTACAAAATGATCGTGAAGAGACCCCAGGTACACAAAGGACACTGATTTAGTATTACCAATATGAAATCAGTATTTTCTTTATTGAAAAAATTGTTCATTCCATGCATGCATCAGTTATGCAACTGCTTACTGCAGTTCATGGTTGCCAGGGGGTTTGAGCTTGTTCCAGCTGTCATAGAGTGTATGCATATGTACAAAAGACGGCAGAGTTATTATTGTTATTATTATTGTTTCATCTCATCTGAGAAAAAGATGTGCTTCCAGTATGCATCATCGTTTTCCATGTTTTCCTCATCATACTTCTGTCTGGTTTAAAGTTGCAGAAGGGTTTTTCTCGATCTCCAACCTCGAGTGCATTCCTGTGCAGAGTTCTAGTGATTGTCATCTTCTTACTTGGCAAAGTCATTCACTGCTGTTTTGGCAGTTATTCTATGGTCTTTAGACACATCGCTCACTAATTTCCTTTCTAGAATCTTTTAAATCGTTTAGAATTTCTTGATGATACTTCTCCCTCTGGCTTTACGAGCGTCAACAAGTCTAAATGGATTTCTTTTGTTTTTGCCATGATGCTTTCTCAAGTGACAGCTCAGACTCTTGAAGAAGTTTTATACTCTGTGTAAATTGGAAGATAACCCTCAGTTTGAACTTAATTTTACAAGCTTTGAGAATTACAAAGTTAAAGCACATCTTTGTGCACATTGCACAGCAGTGGTTTGTGCTATGGATAGAAACAATATGGAAATAGTTTATCCTTTCTAAAGAATCTGTGGCTCCGACATGCCAATTTTTTTTTGAATGTGAACAGTTTCCGATGAGTGTGAAATAGAATGATTATTTTCCTTGTTCTCTTATTTCCAAAGCTTGAGAGGACAATTTTATTAAAACAAAAAAAAAAACAATATGACTTTTCTTACTGCCTAGGATTAGACATACTTAGTTGGTTGGGGTCATCAACAATGCTTACCTCAGAGAGTTAACCAAATCTTCATCTTGTTTTGAAGTCATCTTCAACACCTTTTTATGACTATTTGCTGGCTGGGTCACCTTTTTTATAAGCACAGAGCGTGATGCAGACAGCGTGGGTTCTAATCCCATTCTGTCTGTCTGGTTTGAAGTTGCAGAAGAGTTTTTCTCAATCTCCAACCTCGCAGTACACTCCTGTGTAGAGTGCGAATCCCATTAACTCTTTACTGGGATTTTACGTTTTATAGAACCAGCTAGCACAAACAAAGGCTGGCTATGTTACAGTTGCTTCACAGTACACCCATCTGATCAGTGTGCCACTGCTCAGCTATCATTTTAAGGTAAATGATGTGTTTTTGCTCTCCCAGCACCCAGTCAGCCACCGGGTAAAGTGGTGTGGAACACGTCGAACTCCAAGATTATACTGAACTGGGAGCAGGTCAAAGCCCTGGAGAACGAGTCAGAGGTCACTGGTTACAAAGTAAGCACCCAGACGCCTTGTTTTGTTAGAAAATTCTGTCCCGTGCCACGCTGCCATAATTCGATCTCGTCTTCTTCAGGTGCTGTACAAGAAGAATCGACACAGTCGCCCCAGCGTCATGGAAACAAACACCACCTCTGTAGAGCTGGCGCTTCCTACTGACGAGGATTATATTATCCAGATAAAGCCATTTGGTGAGGGAGGGGAAGGCAGCAGTAGCAGGCAGATCACCATCCCAAGGATACCAGGTCAGTGGAGAGCTAGTTAGTGTCTCCCTCGTGGCTGAGCTGAATAATCCCCTCCCCTGCTGCTGTCTTGGCAGAACAGATTAGCTGCTCCAAAGCGACAGAGACTGGGGAAATAATGTTCTGCATTTGACATTTGTGTAATTACAGCTTCTACGTGACACCAAAAAGTATGTAAAGTAAAGTACTCTATTTAGAGTCCTTTCTGTGCCTCACTCTGCTGCTCAAGGAGTAAGATGAGAACATGTTTTTGATATTTTTATCAGCTCTTAATTGCTAAAGCAGGTTGAAGAGATGTCTCTTTAATAAGAAAAAGGTGGGGAAAAAACGTATTTCTCTCATAGACTAACAGCCTTGTTCTTTTCAACACCTTTTCCAGGCCCCAACGCAGTCGGCTCAGCATCCAAGGTCTCCACTCTATCAGCACTCAGCACAATAGCACTGTCTTTCACAGCGCGGACATCTTTATGACAAACGTCTCGCAGCAGGCGTTGCATCTGATGTGAAGACGGCGCTCCGGCAGAACGCAAACAAAGCCCACTCCGGTGTAACTAGATCCATTCATTTAGATTTTAGAAGCAAAAGGAAGACGCCGAAGGAAAAAACAACAAAAAAAGACAAAAAAAACACCATTGAGATAACAGGGAAGGGGTCCCCTTCAGCGCCCAGGCTAAGTAAGGGAGATTGACCGATGTCGTGACTATGTTGTTACCAAAGCAGCTTTCATAAGAAAAAAATAATCAGAAAAAAATGTCTTATATGCATTTTTTTGTATGACACGTTGAGCTTTTATAGATTTTCTTTTCTTAAATAAATTTAAAGTCTGTCTGGGCGTATTGGGTCAGAACATCTGCATGGCAAGCAACATCATCAAATTTTCCAGTCTGGAGGTGAAGAATGTGATTTGACAGATCACCCTTTGTCTTCTAAAATAAGATACTACTTGTGACTTTGGTTCCAGCAGACCAAAGTGAGGTTTTTTTTCTTCATTTCTGTTTCTGCACTATTTAAAAAAACAAAAAAAGCTTGTCTCAAAGGACTGCATCGACAGCTTTGGCATATGCTGCTATTAATCCCAGTTTTTAAAGAGACAACTAGCATTAGACTTTACATGTTAATGCTTTATCATTCTAGGAAAGTGGCTGTGGGTCATCTTGATATATCAGATAATCCTAATAGGCACTAAGCTTGGAAAGTTTTGTCAAAGCAGTCACATGAAATGTGAACACTGAAAGCGTTATGAGTTGCAATCATTCCTCCTGTCCAAAGATGGCATAGCTCAACTGCAGCCTCATGTTAGCTTAATCGACACTTGTGCTAAAGTCCAACATGAGGTTCTGGTCTTGGTTGTGCCGTGCTCAGACCGCACAATTATTTTAATAAACATGCTCAGTGTGTCACGTTAAAAGATTCCAACGTCAGATGTTCTTATATGTTGTTTTTTTTCTGAGTCAGAACATATTTGGAGGGCTAAATTATCAGCAAAAGCTAGCTTGATTAGCAAGCAAACCTAAAGTGTACATGTATAACGCCCCTAAAACTGACCAAAATTAAACTATAACTACTTGGACAAGCTGTACCTCACAGCAAGTAAGTTATAGCTTGTATCCCAACTGTATCCTTTTTTTTTATGATAATCCTTCTCAGAATTCTCTCAAAACCCACCAACACCTCAAACATGGTTGAGGAATCCAGTTCAGTGACTGAATTAGCGAAGGTGAAGGCTAACTGGCTGCTTGGCCAGGCCACATCCTTAACTTTAATCCAGAAACAAAATCCAGACATGTAAGCTATGAAAACAGTTTGCCCCAAATACAATTTTTTATAAACTGTATATACCAAGCTTTTTAAATAGCAGCTGTAAAGAAGTTAATTGAATCACTCTAGTTGAGCATTTTAACACAAAAGTCTGTTAGAACGTACTGTCTTTTGGAATCAGCCTCAAATGACCATTGAAGAATTTGCATGTTGGTTGTAAGCTATCCAATATGCAGCAATAGTTTTTTGTCAGCTCTCATTCACTCAACTGGCTAAAACATGCCTCATAACCTTGCTACATTTTTCTGGCCATGGTACTTTCACACTAATATCCTATAGTCTTAACCTAGCACTGACTAAATGTTTTTTTGATGTGCCAGTTCCCCTGTTTGTGTCGCCTTGCTGTGCTGCAGCAGTTTTACTGCTATGAAGACAGAACAAATCTCCTCGCTAATAGCTGGACTTTGCTAACTGTAGAATGCTAAAATATTTCTGCTGAACTCTAGAATTCAGTCTCGGACCACAGATCATACTGCAATTGCACTTGGAAGAGATTTTAAACAGTCGGTACGGACAGAAGGAATGATCACAGGGAGCAATAACTGGTTTATTTGTATAGCGTGAGTCTAAATCCCATCATCCTCGATGCTAAAGCATTAGCATATTAGCATGCCACGTTTTTGGTGCCAGTCCCTTGAGGGTTACCCAACAGCTCCCAAAATGTCGATGAAGTACTTAAAGCCATCCACGTGATAATTACTGACTTTGTAACCAGATGTAACATCGAGCTATCGTTGAGAGCTTCTCCCCTGGGTTCCTCTATCATGGCCGTTTAACAGCAATGGGAACCGGGCCCTTGTGGCTGTCTCATGCTCCTCATTCTTTAAGTTAGCCCTGTGTCTAGAGCTATTCTTTGCCTTCTGTGTGCCTCATCATATGTTCAAAATCCTCAGGTCCTTAAAGAGCCTTAACTTATCATATGTATATCAAAAACATTAGAAACATAGGACTATGAAGCAGCCGTGGTGATGTTTACATGCAGCTTTGTGGATAGAAAACTGTATGTAGTGAGGGGGGCCAGCATCCTTTTCCTGATGTTACAGAGGTGAATTTGAATGGCATTCTGCTGTTTCGCATGGGATATTGGCAATATATGAGGCCTGGTGCATTTTTATAGGTGTGTATTCTTAATAAAAAAGACAATGCTGCTGATCTTTTCCTTTTTCCCATCGTCTCCTGATGCCATGTGGGGCTGCTGTGCTACGCAGAGTACAGTGCAGTCTGTATGTAGCTTGTAATCCAGTTAAGTAGTTTGTAGTACGTTGAAGGGAAGTGTACTGTAGGCTACTGGGTCTTGCTCAGAATCATGCATTGAGAAATGTGTAATATACTGTTTTGTACACTTCAGATCATTTATATAAAAGAACCTTTCTAAAGAGATGATTTACTTGGTTTTTATGTATCAACTCTGTTTCATACTGTAGCTAACTGTTGCTCAGCATGACTGTAATTTGTCCTCTCTTACGTCCATTTGCAAAACTGACTGAATGGCTTAAGGACCGTACAAGGTTCGTGCATCTGATAAGTTTGTGTATACTGTGCGTGTACCATGAAAACTGAACCACGATCAGCCCAATGTCTATGCTTCTGTCTCAGTCAGCCCCTCTGAGATGTGCTGGGTCTTCTGCTCATATACGCGCCACAGGAGAGTTTCTTCTGTTGCTGTTTGTTGTTTATACTGTGTTAATAAAGATTACCGATTTATAGAACAATGCTGAGCGCTGCTGCATCAATATGATATCGGCCTGCATGACATATTGCAAGAAAGTGCCCCTCTTGAACTCTCTTCTGTGATACACCTGCACCATTTCATAGGTTTTATTACAACGTGCCCTGAAGGCAGATAAAATACTAGGAGGACTTCATTCAGTGTAGTGCAGTCAGACTCGGGACATCTTCACACTACAACTATGACAGAATGTGCCAATAGCACTCATCATTAATACTAATAGTCTGGAGAAGAAGCACAGCAATTTTAGATCTCCATATTTTAATAATCAGTCTCTCTTTTCAGATATTCCTTAGCTCAGAATGTGTTTTTATCTCTGTCGATTTTCTCTTGAGAAGTGCCTTCTTCCATGCAAATAGCTGCATTTTTATCTTTAAGCAGGTTTTTTTTTTTTGCCTGAATATTCTCGGATCTCTATCTGCCTCTTCATCTCTGGCCAGACTAATTTCTAAAAAACTCTGGACTGTAACAGAAATATTAACGATTGACTTTGTCTTTCCATTAATCTGAACAGGGTAACTTCATTTCCCCCCCCCCCGGCCTCAGCTTAATGATCCACGGCCTTGCCTACCCAAGTTGCAATTTCGTCTTTCTTTTATTCTCTTTATTAATCTATTATTCTTAATCTATTTATTTATTTTAGCTTATCTGCAAGTCTTGGGCCTGAGTTTGCATGTTCTACTTTTTTTTCGCTCTGGTTTCCTCCCACAAGCTAAAGACGTGGATGTCAGGTGATGGCTCATTCACATTAGAGTAAGAATAGGACTGCAACCTCCTCACAACTCTGTAAAATCAGTGGCTGTCCAGTGATTGCACTGAATTCTTTTCCAGTCGGAAACCAATTGCGAGTACCTGCAGTAACCGACTGGTTGACCAGAGGTTGACCGTGCAACACCCTCAACCTATGGGTGACCACTTTGAAGCAACTGCACAGATCACCTGGTGGGAGGCAACCTGTCTCCAAACAGTTGTAGTCTGACTCAGACCGACTCCAACTGCTACATGTCTCTTTGCAATGGGGCTTAATTCAACTGGTTGTGTTTTATATGAAAGCAAGGTTGCAGTTAAGCCTTTGTCCTGCAGCAGTCACATCGACATTTGTGAATGAATTTCTGTTATAAATCCATGAGCTTCTGGATGGACTTTTTCTCTTTTTGGGGGCGGGGTAATAATTTAGAATTAATTTTTACAAGACAGTAGAAGAGACTGGAAAGGAGGGAGGAGGTGTGTGCACATTGAAATCTGCAGTAATCTTTTGGCAAATGGGTCAATCGCTCAACCCATTGAGATATATGGGCACCCAGACCTGCAATTTTTGATGATTTAATCACAGTTAATCATCATATTATCACAAATCGATCTAAATGCACGTTATTGACAACTTGACACCAGTCAGTCATCCTATTGTCATCACCGTCTTTACGTAGCAAAGTTGCTTTGAAGACAGCAGCTGACTGAAAGTGTCCATGGCACAGCAGTAATTTTAGTCATGCCATGGTCTCCAACCACTGTTTTCCCTAGTGTGACTGTAGCTTAACTGGTGACTGTGATAAGGCTGAATGTGTAGCCATGAATGAATGGGTAACTGTGATAGCCCTGTAATGGGCTGTTAACCAGTCTAGGTAGGAGGGGAAGAAGAAAGAAATGTAGGTTTTTGATAAATAACAAAAACAATTTCACAAATGACAAATCTGCAGCACTTGTGTGATGCTGTCAGGATGGAGCAAAATTTCTGAGGAATGTTTCCAGCAACTTGTTGTTCAAAGAATTAAGACAGTTCTAAAGGCGAAAGGGGGTCTAACTCGATACTAGCAAGTGTAACTAATAAAGTGTCCAGAGATCGTGCATATGCGTGTTTATATATATCCTCGGACAAACAGTCTAAAAACAAGAATGATGAAGGAATTCTGCCATCCAAACCCTCTTCTCTTTATATCTCAGAAAAGGAAAACATGAAATGTCTCATATCTCATGTGGAGAAATAACCAGGAACACAAACTGTAGACTGTATGTGTGAATTGGGCCCTGGCCCTTTAAATACTATAATATACAAAATTGTTCAACTGAACGATTGCAGCACATTAAATCTGGGTGTTTTAGATGTCAGCCTATCCAAACAGGATTATGCTGGTCTTCCTGAGAAGGTGAGTGCACGCAAACCTAAATTAGCAACATTTTTCCAGATATTGTCCCATATATCACATGAATTTTTGAGATTTATAAATAAGTACTCCAGTATTCATATTCATCAACTATCTGGTTTGTGCATAGTGAAGGATTTCAAACATGTCCGATATCTAGCTTTGGTGCATTAATATACAGTATCTCAAAACTGGAGACATCAAAGACAAAGTTAATATGCAAAGAGATCGGGGAAAAAACTTTCAGTGGATTAAATATTAGAATATTGTGTAAATGTTTCATGGATGGAAATCCAAAATTGGGATTTTTCAGCGTCCAGTCTTGTTCGTTTACAGAGATGTGTCAACAACAGATCCATCAAAGGTCCAGTGTGCATTCTTCCGTATATTGTCTGTATCTGTGATGAATACAAAGGTATCACTGCCTTAGATCATACCAGATTTTAGGGCTTTTATTCCAGTAATGGAGGGTGAGTAAGACCCCCATTCTGTCTTATGTTAGTTTCAGGCCGCCCTGGAAGGACCAGCAGCTGTGAAAATAGCTGGATAGATGAATGTACTGAATCATGCTGGAAATATTTTATTTTTTCCTCCTAGTTCAAATATTTTTATATCAGTGTTGCACAGTTGCCAAGGCTGTGCCTTCTGCTGTTTTGTGTTACCCACTTTATAAGACATATCACTAATAGGAATAGCAATTACTTTATTTGTGAAATTCTTTCAGGCATTATCAAACACTATCAATCCATTACCTCTAGCTGCTTATCCAATATTAAGGATGCCAGCTCAGAAACATCACAAACAACATCAGTGCATTGCAGGGCTAACAGAGAGAGACAGCCAACCACACAATCACACACTCTTATATCCACACATATGGACAGAATCATCACTTAACCTGACTTTGGACTGTAGGAGGAAGCCAGAGTCCCCAAAGGCACCAGGTGACCTTGACTGTTGAGCCTTCCTGCTAACCACTGCACCAATCAAATACCAGTGACAAATAAATATGTATTTTGTAGAGGACTCCATAATAGTTATTCTTGACATACTTTACATGGACAAATTGATTTCACCTTCTAGCAGCGCTGACATAGCTCTAAGCGGTATCCATTATTCATTCGTTATTTATTTTGAGTAAACTGTGCAGACCTAGATCCTTCAATTCCCATCATCCAACATGTTATTGTCGCTTCAATTCCAATTCTAATTATATTAGCCCTTAATAACAAAAAAGTCTCTTCAAATTATTATTCAAATAATTATTTATTATTTATATAAATGATATTTGTAAGGCATCTGATATATTAAAATT